AATTACTAAAGCTGCTGTCAGATAAATCGACGGCCAACTCCCATCTTTTTGCGCGCGTTGACAATCAGCCGATTTTATATTTATTTTGTTTCGCCCAAATTCGAGTTTTCATGCATAAACATATCATTTAATTACTTTGCTGATATTTTTAAAGCTAAATATATAAAATCCACAGCAATTTGACGAGTAAAAAAGCAGAACAAAATTGTTTTCTTGGCGTTCATTGTGGCATACCTTTTGCGTCTGGCGCTTTGATGGAAAGTTGTAAATATCACGCAAAGCCACAAAGTTTTATCTGGCATCAGCTTAAGGGAGGGAAAGAAACAAATGGCTTCGGCCAGTGGTATCGCAACGGTCGTATACAGTCCTAAACAGCTTAACGGCTTAAACTCGGACTTACACACACTCTTAATCCGGATCAACTGCAGTTAATTCCCGAGTTGATACGGATCAACGCTGCCGTCTGTTTATGCTTTAACCCAGATATTTTCAAAATAAAAAGTTAACTTAGCGTTTAAGCGGCAAAGTTTAATATCTTGCAAATTGTTATTTGCAAATAATGCGTAATAGTAATAAATAAGTAATACTCGCAAGAAAATTAAGGAACAGCCTTTGTAAAAAGCGCAAGATAAGCCGGAAGTTACCAGCGCTAAATGGCAAGGCTTTTAAATAAATGTGTCACAAAGCAGTAGTATAGCCATAGATCGATTTAAGAAACCATTTTTTGTCGTTGCCAATTTTTAACCTGATTAAGCGAAAAATAGAGATTTGTAGCGGAGCCAAAATACGCTGGAATCGCAATTTAGCTATATGAGCTGGCAAAACAGTTCGCCCACTTTATCCGTTTCATTTTGTTCATCGCTAAATTCTTCCAGAAAATTAACCAAAATTATGATTTTTGGAGATGCTTTTTTAAGAGAGAATCGCAAAAATCGCTAAAAATTGGCGATGGAGTTTTAGAGATAGCGAAAGTTGCAATCCGGCTGCTGTTATATACAACTATGAACCAAAAATACAAAATCAGGCAAGACGTTGTATTTGTAACTGGTTTTTGGAGAAAAGTTTGTGAAAGCGGGTTCGTCAGCTCAGCCTTTGTTTACATCACAAGCACCTCTATCCTACACCTTTCTTTAACTAAAGAAGAGTTAATTCAACATGACAATACGTTTTAAAGCTTTCTAATGAATCATTTTTAGCCAAATTGTGTGTTTAGCTGGCTGACAATAATTTTGGTTAATTTTGGTTTTCGTTGTCTTCTTTGCTTTGTTACTTTTCTTTCGTTTTTCAGCGAAACAAGATAGATGGCGTAGAACCCGCTATGAATTTTTTTTTAATTCTCTTGCTTTTGCGTGATCTTGTGTTGTTTGTTAATGATCAGGGCTGCCAACTATACTTAGCTATGAAGTGTCATATTGAGGATAGAAAAGTGCCAAAATGTGCCAAATAGAAAAATAAAAGTTCCAAAAAAGGTGTTGTTGTGTGAAACCACCTAATGTCTATTTATTCCAAAACTTATATTG